CAGATGGCTCTAACTTGTGTCAAGTTGACATTAAACTGTCCAGCACAATGACTACAGGAAATGTAATGTTTTCCTTCTGTTGCAGATTTTTAGGCTCATAAACAAACAAAACTGTAGTCAATCTGAGTAATCATTTTCCTAAATTCTTTTTCTCCAGGTTTTTTCTAAGCCACAGGGGACAAAAAGGTTTTAGTCTATTTAGAAATTTTTTTTTATCTAATTTGTTAGTCAAAAATTGAGACAAACATTTCTGAGGCTTTGATTCTCACTTTTGGCTCTTCGTTCCTTTTTCTTCCTATTTTTCTCTATTTTTTGTCCATGACTTTTCCACATTATGTATGTAGGATAAAATCCAAAGTGAGATATTCCGCATTTCTTAAGATTACTTGAGGAACACTTGTGGCAGTTAGTGTAAAGAACACATAGGATGCTACCTCATGGTTTGCTTTATCAATGACCCATTGGTTTATGTTATTTAGAATCTGCTGTATCACAGTGAAATTTATAAATACAGTCATGCATACACAAAGATAATGACCATTCATCACCCCAGCCAGAGTGCTTTTGCCACCCTCAGTTCTCAAGGTTGACCAGAACATAGATGAAAAGCAGCTCAAAAGCACTGGAATCTTTTAAAACAATAATTAAAAAATCAGATTAAATCTGGCTGCGATAACAAAGGATGTTGTTTAAAGGACTTATTTGCTTGAATGTGTTGACCTCTTGAGCATTCTAGACACCTTCCTGAGGGCAGAATCCTCTCATTATGCATGTCAAAAGCTCATTAATGATAGAGCAGAAAAAAGATGAATTACAAAGTCAAAAAGGTGAGTTAGGTAAGGCCGCAGCAAACTAAGTGCACATCTTCTGATTTATGGAGTTTGTGCTTGTTTTCTGTAAATGCATTAAGTCACACAGTGGTAGCTGCTCCCTGCTGTGGAGGACCTGGCCCTGCACAGCCATAGCAGACTGACTGGAAAGAATAAGAGAGTCAAAGAATGACTGGATGTTTAAAACTTTCTGTTTTTAGTGTTCACCATAGAGCAAACAAAAGGACATACAATCCTGTCCCCCTTTCAAGAAGTGAGACAATAATCAAGAATTCTCATATTATTGAAGAAGGTTGAGAGCAAAAGCTTCTTCTTGTTGTTGTTCCTTGAGACAGCATCTCACTATGTAGCCATGACTAGACTGGGGCTCACTATCTAGACCATGCTGGCCTCAAATACAGAGCTCTACCTGCCTTTGCGTCCCAGGTACTGGCATGAAAGGTGTATGCTTCTAGTCCCAGCAGCAAAATCTATTATCCAGAATATTCTATGGGTCCTTGGGATGTCTCAGCGCTTAGCCACCAAGTCTGGTGACCTGAGTTCAATTTCTGGACCTCACATGGTAGAAGAAGAGCGCTGACTCCTGCAAGTTACCCTTTAACAACCAAACATACAGTATGACATGAGCATTACCATGATGAATAAATAAATAAGTGTAAAGAGTTTCTTTTAAAAAAGGAAGTTTTAGAATGATATTAGTTGGAATTTATATGTTGTCATAGTCTATACATTGGAGTGACTTCTGTTGAAGACCAGCCACGATAAATTCATATGTTTCACGATAGGGACATGTGGATTAAAAATGTTAGGTAGGAGGAACCGAGATGTGAAAGAAACACAGAGGCACAGTATAGTATTGGGAGTGCAACTCAGTGTACACTGAGTACTGACTTCACCTGTGTTTAATTTTCATATGCTTTTATATCCCAATACAAAAAGGTGGAAGTTTTGTACACACATGTACAATAGTACATTATACTTACACACATACATACACAGAGTTATATAAATAAAATGAATCTTAAAAACACAATAAACTTTAACTGACAAGAAAGCAAGATCATACCTGCATTTTATAAATTAGAAAATCTCTGAAATTGCCAAGATAAAAAAACGCTGATGACAGCTTATGTTAGAGAGGATGTGGGGTAAGGGAAACACTAATCCATTGCTGGTGTGGGTGCAAACTTGTACAGCTGCTTTGGAAATCAGTATGGTGATTTCTCAGAAAATTAGGAAGCAATCTACCTCAAGACCCAGCAATATTACTTTTGAATATATACTCAAAGGAAGCTCAATCATATCACAAGGACATGTGTTCAACTATGTTCATAGCAGCATTATTTGTAGTAGTCAGAACCTGGAAACAACATAGATGCCTCTCAACTGAAGAATGGATAAACAAAATGTGGTACATTTACACAATGGAGTACTACTCAACAGCAAAAAATAATGGCACCTTGAAAATTGCAGGCAAATAGATGTATCTAGAAAAAAAAACATATTGAGTGAGGTAATCCAGACCCACAAAGGCAAATATAATATGTACTCACTCATAAGTGGCTTTTAGACATAAAACAAAGGAAAAACAACTTATGGTACATAACCCCAGAGAACCTAGACAACAAAGAGATCCCTAAGAGAGCCATACATGGATCTAATCTAAATAAGAAATAGAAAAAGACAAGACCTCCTGAATAAACTGGGAGTGTGGAGGTCATGAGAGAAAGTAGAGGGCAAAAGGGCAGGAAGGGAGGGGAGGGGAGAAAAATGTATAGCTCAATAAAAACAGTAAAAAAGAAAAGAAAAGATAACATACCCATTGACTGATGTCATCTGGAAAGAAAAGAGAGACTCTGAAAATAAGGGCTGGAAGAACACTGATCTAATGGTGGTGATGATAGCAGCTGAGCTCTAAACACAGGAAGCACTCCTCTGCGTTACTTACATGTACAGTATAGGAATATCAGTGACAATGCTCTGAAAGAAATGCTTTGTTATCCATTTAGAAAATATAAAAATTGAAACAAGGAAGTTAAGCTAATTGGTTAGTTTCTGAACGTCTGTTATCTGTTATATCCCTATGCCATTGGTGAAGTCCTATGCTTGTTACTGCTAACTCACGTGAAAAGATCATAGGCATATAAAATTAAACAGATTCAATCTTAATGAAACTAGATCATTTTACTTCCTGTATGAATCAATAAAATACTAATTAAAAAAAGCTTGCTTGTTAATTATATGGCTGTAAAAATGAAATAAATTAAATAATGAAATTTAAAGGAAAGATTGGAAGCATGGTGAGTCAACACAGTTTTCTGAACTTCTCTTATGAAAATATCAATCTGTGAGTTTCTGGAAGACAGAAACGAAGTATGAGATAAAGCCGCCAGTGTAAAGCCAACCAAGAGGGACTGAAATGATGCTACAGATTAAGAAAATTATTGCACATTTAGGCATCACAACTGCAAAGGTGATAACTAGAGCAGTTCATAAGCTGAGATGATTTGTCGTCAAAATATGTGCCCGTGCACAGCCAGAACTCTATTGGTGAAGCAGCTGTGAACATCACAGTGAGGTTAAATCTCTAAGTAATGTGAAGGTTGATTGTATAAAGTGAAAAATAGTTTTAAGCAAGAGGCAGGAATGATCCACATGGCCATCTGCAGAGAAAGTGAGTATCTGTCATGCTGAGCGAACAATGAAGTCTGGAAATTTCTAGAGTCTCAACACCAGCAAAAACAACTATGGGCGCAAACCATTTTCAAGCCCATTTAACCTTTGTTTATATAAATTCATAATTTATCATATTTATTAATTATATATTTATAGCCATTATACAACATGTAAAATCATACATATTGATGGAATACCATATGATATTTTAAAATATATTTATATTTGTACACACATTGTTTAAGATGTAAATCAGTTTAACAGCATATTTCTTATGAAATAATTCAATTTTTTTTTGTTCTTTAGGAAATAATATATTCAATTATTGTTATAGTTTGGAAAATAAATTCACAGGAATAAAATTAACCTTAAATATTTTTAAATGGTAAATTTCAAAGTTCCTAGAAATAATTTTAAATTAAATTTAGGTGGAATTGTCAAAGTGTAATAACTTCTTTGGGTTTCCTGGAGCTTGTTGTATTCTGGTGACATACCCTTGTGCATCACAAGATGTGGTGGCCAAATCCTGACTGTGAAAATGAGTCTCAGCTCTAACCAGGGCCATTTGGAGCAGTAACTGGATGTTAGGGCATAAATCAATTTTTCTGGCAAGTTGACAAGATTGAATTTAACCACTTCTAAGGTGACTTTCAATAGAACTCCCGGGTATGTTGTACTGTAGAAGGAAGTTTTTGTCCTGCCATTCTGTTCCAAATAAACACATAGAAGCTTATATAAATTATAAACTGTTTGGCCTATTAGCTCAGGCTTATTATTAACTATCTCTTAAGACTTAAATTAGCCTAATTCTTGTCTCTGTTTAGCCACGTGGCTTGGCACACTTTCTCAGTTCAGCATTTTCATCTTATTTCCTCTGTGTCTGACTGGTGACCGTGTCTGTCTCTCTATCTTTCCTCTTTCCAGAATTCTCCTAGTCTGGTCGCCCCACCTAAACTTCCTGCCTGGGTACTGGCCAATCAGCATTTTATTAAACCAATATGAATGACAAATTTGTAGTTTACAAGTGCGTTATTCCACAGCATTTTTCTTGTTTTCTTTTCAAAACAAGAGCTCTAAACCTAGTTTTTTTTTCCCTCTCCATTATTCATAACGACTTGTAACTAATACGCTAAACAAAGACAAACATAATCCATTTTCTGGGAACATGGATATAGTTTTCTAGGATACTTCCTTCTGATTAGAGGCACTGGTAATCTTCTAAAATCTAAAGACAATTTAGTATTATGGTCTAGTCCTGACTGGAGTATTCTGTGAGGCTGGATCATCTGAGCTGCCACTTTGAAGCTGTTCTAGATGCAGAAAACAGAAGAAACTGCAAAATTGCACATCTACTAAAATTAGCCTGTTAATATGCATTTTCTTTGAAATTTTATTTTCTAAATAGAAATAGAGTGTTTATAACTTCTTCTTATCCTTTATTATTAATTGTTTGCTTTTTTAACTTTTAAATATGCTTCTATTTCCCTCATTTAGGGTGGAGTTAATGGATTGACTGGAGACCTAGAATTTGGAGAAAATGGAGGTAACCCCAATGTGCACTTTGAAATCCTTGGAACCAACTACGGCGAAGAACTTGGCAGAGGTGTCCGTAAAGTAAGCCTGAACTTGCTTTAAATTTTTTTCTCTGTGCTATTGTGGGTTTGCCATGTAATTTTCTGCAGTGTGATCACAGTATCATCAAAGTATACATATACCAAGGAGAATGTGTGGAGGGATAAGGAATGGAGAACAATCCTCAGGCAGCAGGTCAGGGATTTGGGGTACTCATAGATATACAAGAAGGATGAAACAATTACTTAGATTCACACTTTAGAATAATATAAAAGGCCAGGCAGTGGTGGCACAAGGCTTTAATCTCAGCACTTGGGAGGCAGAGGCATGCAGATCTCTGTGAGTTCAAGGCCAGTCACGAATACACAGAAAAACCCTATCTTGAAAAGCTAACAAAAATGTGATGATGATGATGATGATGATGATGATGATGATGATGATGATGGTGATGATGATGATGATGATGATGATAGAAAATAACATAGTGCTTGCTCAGGGAAATGATATTACATTACATTTACTACAATAACACTTTTATAAAATGCTAATTCAGTATTTAGATAAAGTAAAGCTGTTTGAGGTTTGGTTTGTAAAATGCTCAAAATCAGAGTGTTTGGATAAGTTTAATATTATATAATATTGTAATACTGAAAGTCATCTGTAAAAGGTGACATTATAGTAGAATTTTGTGTGTAGCCTGTAGTGAGGAGATTATACTTACTGGAAATAATTTTTTAGCATAGTCTGCAGATCACAGAAACAGCTAAGCACCAATAAAGGATGTTTGTCAGAATACCATGACTTTGGCTTTCACAAGGAGAAATACAAAAATCCTTGGAGAAATGACTTTTTTTGTGCTTTAAACTTACCAGTTTTACACGTTTGTATAGGGAAAAACTGATGGTGATTTTGTAAACAGAGCTGGTAAGTATAATGGTCTTGGTGTCTGAGGCTGACTGTGTTGAAACTAACTGGTACTGGACGTGCTTCCTTCCTTTGCTGACACATTTCAGGCAAACATTCAAGTTAGGAGTTGCTCTTACTGGAAATAACAGTTTCTCAGTAAATTTGTGCTGACTTAAACTCTCTTGGTGCATTTTAATCTTTGTTTGCTAGTGAAGATTCAAAACTATAGAAAATGGCATAGACACAGAATATCATAGTGAATTGTTTAAAAGGAAACCATCTCTGCCAAGGTCAAAAAGAAAAGAAGGTGCAGAAAACACCATCAAGTGCTCCATCAATGGCAAGCCTGACCCACAGCAGAGGAACCATTAGTCTGAATTTAATGTGACCACTCGGTTATAGTTTCAACTACTTTATCACCTTATGAAGGAAATTTTGCCAGTATTCAGACTTGTACTCTGTCTTGCATATTATCTTTCTACATTTAGAATTCTTCCTTGTTTGTTTATTCACCCTTGCTGGAGAATGTAGTAGAAATTAATTAATTTATATGGTTACATTTTTCCATTATATGAATGTACCACAAATTATTACATTGTTTCCATTTTAGACTGCTATCAGTCAAGCAGTTGCAATGTACTTACATATACTTATTGGTTAAATACTGTTGTACTTGTGATTAAATTTTAGTGTATGTATAAGAATAGATTTGCAATACAATGCCTTAGACATTCCTGGATGTCTAAAAGCCTTTATTGAAATATACCCATTTTCACTTACCTCACAAGTATAAAGTAAGTTCTTGCTGCCACATGAGCCAACTACATCCTAATTTGTCAGACTTCTAAGCATCTGATAATTTCTTAAGATAGTAATATACTTTCAAGGTCTCAGTTTAAATTCTCTAACTGCAAAACATTCTGTTTCCTCTTTTTGGCATCTCATATTTCTCTTTTACTTCATATTTCTTTCAAGTTTTTTTTTCTTTTTTTCTCTCTTTCTCTGATTGCTTATTATCTCTTTGGGCAGGTAGAGATGTCATTTGTTTCTTAATTAAATTACTTTCTTCCCTGAAGATTTGGCTTTTATGGTATTCTGAGCACATTTAAATTTGCTTCTGTTGTGAATATTTTTCTATGGTTGTTGATATTTATTTTTATTCAAAAATTATTACCTACTCTAGTCATGTATCAGTTGGGTATCCTGCAAAGGTTTATACTGTTCTGCACATTTATTTTTTAGTATTATTCAAGTTATTGAACTCTTATGTATTTCTAGAATATAGTAATAGATTAATTCCATATTGGATGTAGACATATTTACACTTACATAAACCATATTTGCTTTGTTAACTGTCAATGTTATATTAATAATTAAAATTTTGATTTCCTGAAACCATCCTTTCAGTTAGCTTCCTATGCTGAGTTTAAGCTGACCCAAGCTGCATATGTTAGTAAGTGAGCAGTCCAGGGCCATGCACAATACAGAAACACATTTTTCAATTGTTACTGACAGGAGCATCTCAGAGAATGGCAATGCTAGCCATCTAAAGAGCGAAGATAGTAAAGAAATAAAATGTGAAAGGTTCTTGTGTTTGTACAGAAACTAAATAGCTTGAAAAATGTAGAGGAGCATATTTAGAATGTAAATAAATTGGGCATATGTGACTACTAAGAGATAAAGTCTTTTAAGAGAGAGAGAGAGTTGAAGACAGAGCAAAATAGTGCTGAGTTGTGATTGATTTCAAGTAGAACAATAAAAAGAGAGGATTGGATCCAGAAGTATCTGGTATTATTGACCTTAAGGGAGATGGGAGTGCTTCTCCAGAAAAATCAAAGGACAGAGTGAGGAGCAATGCAAGTCCTTGTGCAGCACGGGATTACTGGTGTTAGGGGACTAAGGCAATAGTTACCAAATATGATGTAGTTTGCTGAAGAAATGGGAGGTGAGATTATCTATTAAGAGGAAAATACACCAGAAAATCAAAGCCATTGGAGATTGTGAAGCTAGGGACTCCAAGTGGCAAACAGTAGAAAGGAAGAATTGCCAGACAGCGCTGTTTTCACATGTAGGGTTAAAAACAAACATTGTGCTGTAGCAATAACCTTGGTGTGTTTTTCAGCAGCCCTCAGCGACTGAATGAGTTTCATTAGTGCAGGCTGGGCTTTCTTCAGGTTGCTCTCCTTTTGTTTTAATTTTTGTAGCAATGTACTAAAGCAAGTGAGGTTAAAGACAATGTTAAGCTATAATTGAAATGATGAAGCTTGACACCTTCCCTGAACACAGGTAACAATGGAGACGGAGACTTTCAGGACAGAAACAAAGTATGGCTCGAACAACTCCACCATGGACATGTCTCAAGCCTCTATCATAACATGAGTGAATTAGGAGAGTCTCTGAGCCAAAAAAAAAACTATGTTTTGGGAGAGAATATTTAGATTGAGGATGTTTGGGCATATGGATGCTTGTGAAGGTGGAAAAGAAAAGCTGGGGTACTTCCAGTCTAACTCATCCCCTGAAGTCCTGTGCAGCTCATAAAGTTTTGAGGCCAGGGTAGTTAGTCACTTTGACCTGTTCTGAATTTACACTGTGTTCATGATCTAGCATGAAAGCTATAATGATTCATATACATCAGAGCATGTATACCTCATTTTCAAGGATATCAGTTATGGGAACTGATCAGATTTCTACACTGTAGCTCTGCAAAGGGATTAACGCTCCCCTAGGAGCAAATACCATGTAGACACTCTACAAAAAATTACTAGAATCTTCATAAATTTTTAACTCTAAGGTTTCTTTTATAATATTGACACCCTCAAAATTGTGAATCCAGATATGGTGACACACACCTGTAGTTATAGCAATCAGCAAGCTGAGGCAAGACCATTGAGAACTTTAGGACTGCATCAGCTTAGTAAAGAGACCCTGGCTCAGAAAAAAAAAAAAGTTTAATCTCCTGTCCAAAAAAAAAAAAAAGTTTAAGCATGCTAGATTTTCAAATGCTTTTTGCTTCAAAAGCTTTGTGTACAAGAATGTCTATGTGTGCACGTGAATGTATATGTAACTATGGTCATCATTTATCATCATAACATTTGTTTATAGGACTCATTTTTTTCTACTAAATCACAATTTCAATAAACTACAGAACTAATAAATTCTAAATCTAGCTATTTTAATATTATAGTCAGTTAGTTGTGGAGGTAGAGTTTACTTAGCATGTGGAAGAATTCTTTCATACATTGACACAGGCAATGATGCTTTCAAAGATATTCAGAAAGGAAAGCCTTGCCTTCCAAATAAGTGAAGCTGAGACTTACTAGGTATCGGCCCAGAGTTAAAGTTCCAGTCGCTGTTACGCTATCCGTATCTCAGGAAGAGTAAGAGGCTTTCTCACTGAGGAACTGCCAAGTTGTCAGCATTTGTTGCGCGGCCAGGGGCCGAATGTGCACGACGCCCACATACTTATAGCTGCCAGCAGGAATCCTGTCAGATTTCATGAACGAGGCAGAGTGTGTCTGTTAGGATTTGACCACAGTTTCACAATCCTAAATGTCTCTGCCGGGTTGGAATTATGTGAATGAAGACTTCATGCTCCTGAGTTTAAGAGAACATGGAAAGGATGAAATCTCTCTGCTGCTAACCAAAATGAAGAGATTTCCAATTTTATATGTTCTATATATTGCTCTTCTTTGATAATGCCTTTACTGATATTTAACTCAGACAATAGCATATTCACAGTGCACCATGTATCCTTGAGAAAAATTGAAGTGAAATTCAAAGCCAGTTTTTGAGGGCATCAGGATTTTCTGTTGTTGACTCTGCAGTCATGGTCCCACTCCTACTGTTTCAAATAAATTAATTGTACCACTAACATTGCATCAAGAAACCTAAAACCAAGTTTAGAATGGAACTATGTGAAAAGGAAAGGTTACTAAAGAATCAGGGTGGTTTTCCTTAGAAGTGGAATTCCACCATAGCTTTTGCTTGTCTGAATTTGTTTTGTTCATTTGCCAGCACCACTACATCTTATAGTGAACAACTGCTTTGCAGAATTAACATGTCACACTCTGAGCTTGAGGTCTTCGAACTTTATGACAAAAGGAAAATAAGGTCAGGAAAAGTGGATTAAAGCTGCC